ATCTTAGATTGAAGACAGAGATAAAAAACCCACCAATCTGATTTCACTTATGAAATTTCCTTTGAACACGGAAAACATTTGTTAATGGCCTTACTGCTGAGTTCTGCGTGTTAAGTGAGGCGTGAAGGTTACTTTATTACAACGCTGGGCAGACAGACTAGAGATAGGGGTGGCAGAGCCTTTGTTTTTATCATACACACATTACTTCTATTTGTTGTTTGACATTACATGAAAAGGGCTGTCTGGCAGTATTAAGAATGTCTATGTTTCTAATGTTTTAGTATTAAGGTATCCCATAGATATCACAGCTGAACTGATTTTCTTCTATATTCCCAACACAGCTGGACAACATCTGCACTAAAGCAACAAGTATATTACACTGGACATAATAATGTTTGCCTATTGAGATGTGTAGATACTGGGCTAAATGTATATAGTATATTAAAGTTATCCTGAATAAATTCAATTTTTTTCAAGGGGTTCTCTGTTCAAGTGAATAGTGATCAATTGAAAATTTTATTTGCAACATTTAAGTCAAAATTGTAATAGTTTGGGGAAATTTTTTTACACCTTTGGTATGCTAGCCTAAATTTCAAGAATCTGGTTAGCAATTCACCATGACTCACTCTTATAAACATCAGTAAACAAGCTCAGTACTTCCAAACAAAGTGAAAATATTGTCTTGCTTTTATATATATATACACTTGTGTTCAGGGCTTAGAAGCCGTAATGAAAGCATATTAAGGTAGAAACTTCAAGACCAAATATGTACAATATACAAATATAGGAAAAGTCGGTTGTGGTGTGCCAGAACTGACAATGTGATAAGCCTGTAATAAAGAGGGCCCACCAAAGGTATTGAAGATACTGGTGGGAGGGTCAAAATCGCCAGACCAATAACAGTAATAGGGAGAGGTCTGGCGTACCTTAAGTAGGGAAACATACATATAGATACACCTATTGCATCTATTTATGACTAAATACTGTGTCATTTGAAATACATTAGTCTTGCCATGTTACTATTTTGATCTTGGTGAGCTCAAAGTCCAGTCTACTCTCAAAGTCCAGAGTGGATGCAAAGCTGTTCTGCCACCTAGACATGTGTCTGCACTCCATTACTGCAGGTATGCACCTCAAAGATATGAAGTGAGTGATGCCAGACAAGTCATGACCATCAAGTTTATTCACGGATACAGGAATTGTACAGACAAAGGGGTTACATTTTTTAGGTTAAATTAGTTAGCTGAAAGATATCTGAGAATTTTTAATTCCCTGGTCAATTTCAGATAGTTCCCAGGTATTACTGAATACCTGTGTTATTTTATATTGAAATTCACTCTGGATACTAACAATTGTTAGTGTCCAGAGTTGTGGACCCAGGACATACTTGAAAACGAGAGAAATCTCAATGTTTCTTTCCTGGTAAAATATTTTATAAATAAATAAATACATAATAGTTCTGCTGCTGGTTCTCACAACAGAAAGAGGACACTCGAACTGTGAAACCTGTGCTGCTTCAATAAAGCATGGCTTATAGGATAAACTCAACAATGTTATAGAAGTAACAGAAGAACTGTTGGTTCTTAAAGTCATTGATCCATGATGCTCCAGGCACACTCATGTACACTAGGGCATCTTCTATAAAAATGATGTATGAATGCATGTGCGCTCTAGCATTCCATCCAAAACAAAAGTACGGTATGCATACTTAAACACTCAGAGCTCCTGCACAGACAACAACGTAGTAGTTAAATTGATTTATATGGCAAGCTTTGGCTGTGCCAATACAGCCTCGAAATAAGTAAAACACAATAGAATGCTAGAAATATATATACATATATTCACATAGCACAACTTGATGCTCTAGATCAGCACATGGCATCTTTTTACCAAACGTTTACAGGTACATGAGCATGCGTCATCCCTGAAGTCACAGGAATTTGCATTACATGTCAGGCAGGGCCATGACAGCAAGGTATATTATTACTATTATTATTATTATTATTATTATTTATATAGCGCCAACAAATTCCGTAGAGCTTGTACAATGGGTGGACTAACACACATGTAATTGTAACCAGACAAGTTTGCCACACAGGAACAGAGGGGTTTAGGGCCCTGCTCAATGAGCTTACATGTTATAGGGAGTGGGGTAAAGTGACACAAAAGGTAAGGGTGAATAATATTCACATTCACATTACAGTAGGACTTCGGTTTACAAGCGCCTCGGTTAACATAATTTTTGGTTTACAAATAAAAATCCATTGAAAACAATGCCTCGGTTTACACATTTTTTTCGCAATATAAAGCAAGTTTCCCCAGGATGCACTGCACCAGGGAAGTTTAAAGCACGGCCCACCTGCATGCTGGAGCCTGAGGGTAGCACATGTCGTCGAGTGTGGAGGTGTTGGAGCGGCTTTTGCATCGAGTTTTGGACCATTCTGGAAACTGTTTGCAGTTGTTTTGGGACTTTTTGGTGCATTTCTCAAGCTGTGGAAAGGTAGGGAGCTGAGCTTTGTCGTTTGCATGCCTTTTATTGTGTATTCTGCATTGTGGGTTGGTTTCCATGCCAGCTCATTTTGACTTTTTTCTGACCTCCAGAACGGATTAATTGGTTTTCAATGCATTCCTATGGGAAACCACATTTCGGTTTACAAATGTTTTGCAATAAGAAACGTCCCGGAGAACGCATTGAATTCGTAAACCGAGGTCCCACTGTATATGATGATATAAAAAAATGTTTTGTTTCTAAACAGCTTAACCCACTGCTAATTGTAAACTGTAAATTATGTGCAAAATCTGAAGATTAGCAAGTTTCTGTTTAAGGCACCATTAAAATTAACCTGTTATTGAAATGTCAATTTCTGTACTCCCATTATTTCTCCTGTCTACAGTCTGAATTCAGCATATTTTTTTTCACCACCTTCTATGGAACTTAATTGCGTTTTAGACATTCACCTCATTCCTAATGGATCCAGTACTGCTATTATCCTGCCTTTGTGTGGAGCAACCTTTGTTTTTGTTCTGCCTTTGTTTGAGAAGCCTCGGATGGCTTCCTCGCGCCTGACACAGTCCCCGGATGCTGCTGCTTCTGCACTGGTGGATTGAAGTCTGACAAGGCAATAACTTCTAGGCTTGTACTTTTGCAGGAAGACATCGACATTCAGTCTATGCCGATAATCTGTCTGACGGGGGGAGGATGCAAAATCTCTACATTGGCTATAGAGAGTTGGCTATATAGAATTGTGGGTGAACTTAAAAATTTAAGCCAAATTAGCTGAACTATCCTGGACACATATCACGTCTTTTTTGAAATCCTATATTATTCATTCATTTTGGGAAACAGCTCAGAAATTGTTTTGGAACCAATTCCTGTGTGATCTGACGATCTTGGTAAATTATGGTGAATCGAGAAAATGAGTAAATTGCCCCTAAATATTATCCTCCAAATTATTTTCTATAATTTTCCCTTGGCAAAAATTGGATTTTAATGACTAACCCTAATAAAAGGACTAGAACTACTTCAGTCCGTTCATCTATTTTGGCATAAAATCATTTTTTATTTATTTTTTACATTAAAGGGGCAGTCTAGGCACCATAACCATTATTATTATTAGTATTATTTTTAGTATTTATAAAGCGCCAAACAAGTTCTGTAGCACTGTACAATGGGTGGACTAACAGACACGTATTTGTAACCAGACAAGTTGGACGCACAGGAACAGAGGGACTGAGGGAACTACATTACACTAGAGCTTAATGTAGTGGTTCTGGGGCAAAGAGCTGTCACTGCTGGCTCTGCAATACAAACATTCCTATTTTACATTGCTACCTAAAGCCACCTCAAGTGGTTGTCATACAAACAGCAACTAAAGGGACTTTTTGTACACTGTCCTGCAAGATTGCAGTACTAATGTTTACAGTCTACACACTCTTTATTCAGATGCCAAACACTCCCCACAGAGATGCATTGAGTTATTCCATATAAATTCATCTTCCCTATTTGTCCATAAAAGAATTAGCGTAGCTTGGCACAAATCTTGTTCCCATTGTGGTTCCTTCTATTTTAGCATAAACTAAGAATGGTCGGAGTTACAGTTAATTCAACAACTCTCCAGATGCAGGAACTAAAGTGGACGTCGGTACATGACTCTGAAATAGGGACTGTCCCACCAAAAGTAGGACTGTTGAAAGGGATTATGGAATATATTTAGTGCATTCTATTCTTAATATGGCCATACAGTAGCTACATAGACTAAACAAATAACCCATGGCAAACCAATTTTAGATAGGAAAGACAAAGAACGTGCTTCAATGGGGCATCCAGATTAACTACCAATGATGCTTCTTATATATAATGTGAATTTCAGAGCAATAACATTTACTTAGTTCTGCACAGTTTTCACCATTTTTGGAAATCCATGTCAGGTGAACATCACAGGAACTAATTTAATTACTCTGTCATTTAGCATAATTCTATTTTCATGCAATGAACAAATTATTAGACTTGGGCTTTTTCAGTTATGGAACAAAGACAGGCAATATATAGAAAGTAACATATAAAATATCCTGTTTTAATATATCTTGAAACACACAAATGATTAAAAATATTCACTCCTTACAAGTCTCTTTTCAGCCTATGTAACTAGGTAACATTGGCTGACTGTGATCCCCAATCTATTAACAATGATCTGCTATGCCTATGCCTACTATAGTAAAATTGTATATAATGGCACTTTGTAAATAAAGATAAGGGACTTAGTGTGTTCTATGTGTATTGCATGGTTGCTATGGCTCTGCCCAATGCCAGACCTTGTCAATTTGTCAAGTCAAGTTAAGGGAATATATTAATTTTGCCGAGATTAAGTAATAGAGAACTAATCAGTCCTCTTAAAAGAGTGGGGACATTTTCTTACACCTATTTATATATCATGTTACCAAATGATAAGGGTTATAATTAGTTAATGTTGTTTTAGGATTAGGAATAGTGTAGAGTTAAAGGAGCACTATAGCCTTGAGTTTTACTTACCTTTTAAAAGGTAAGCAAAACTCAAGGCTATAGTGCTCCTTTAAAGGACCACTATAGTGCCAGGAAAACATACTCGTTTTCCTAGCACTATAGTGCCCTGAGGGTGCCCCCACCCTCAGGGTCCCCCTCCCGTCGGGCTCTGGGGGGAGGAATTGGTTAAACTTACCTCTTTCTCTAGTGCCGGGTGGGGAGCTCTCCTCCTCCTCTTCGGCTGAATGAGCATGCATGGCAAGATGCTTTCACAATGCTTTCCTATGGATGCTGGTGTCTTCTCACTGTGAAAATCACAGTGAGAAGCACACAAGCGCCTCTAGCGGCTGTCAAGAGACAGCCACTAGAAGCTGGATTAACCCATTTATAAACATAGCAGTTTCTCTGAAACTGCTATGTTTATAGAAAAAAGGGTTAACCTTAGCTGGACCTGGCACCCAGACCACTTCATTAAGCTGAAGTGTTCTGGGTGCCTATAGTGGTCCTTTAACTCTACACTATTCCTAATCCTAAAACAACATTAACCCTTGCCTTACCCTAAAACTAATTATAACTCTACCTTAAAGGACCACTATAGGCACCCACACCACTTCAGCTTAATGAAGTGGTCTGGGTGCCTGGTCCAGCTAGGGTTAACCCTTTTTTAAATAAACATAGCAGTTTCAGAGAAACTGCTATGTTTACCCTGAGGGTTAATACAGCCTCTAGAGCCTCTAGTGGCTGTGTCATTGACAGCCGCTAGAGGCGCTTGCATGCTTCTCACTGTGAAAATCACAGTGAGAAGACGCCAGCGTCCATAGGAAAGCATTGTAAATGCTTTCCTATGAACTGGCTGAATGCGCGCGCGGCTCCCGCCGCGCATGCACATTGAGCCGATGACGTCGCTAGGAAGGAGGAGAGGTGGTGGAAAGCTCCCCGCCCGGTGCTGTAGGATTTTAACCCCAGAGCCCGGCGGGAGGGGAACCCTGAGGGTGGGGGCACCCTCAGGGCACTATAGTGCCAGGAAAACGAGTATGTTTTCTTGGCACTATAGTGGTCCTTTAACACTAACCCTAACCTACCCTTACCCCAACCCTAAGGAAACCTTCTGCTAATATCAGTACTGATATAAACTGATGGGTTTCCTAGTTAATACTGATTGGAGCATGCTTTTCCCAGCTGATTACACAGTGATTGATGCTGGGCAGTTGGCAAAGCCCAATCACAATCAGCTTGGGAGCATGCAGACAGGCCCTATTAGGATCTGTTCTACCTTAGTACTAGCTACAGACTGAGATTCACTACAGCTGAGTGCTCAGCTATGGTGTCCTGAACGGATTTTGAAAGGCTGTATATAACTCTAACTTTGAGCACTGCATAAAGCTCAGCTATCTGTTTGAGGCCACTAAATCAGCTCCAGCTGACAGAGGGGGTGCTAGGACCTGGGTCTCCTGCTGTGAGCAGGGACTTAACCTTGCTCACACCACATTGCAGTCAATGGGGATTTAAATCCCTATTTAAAGAGCTATATGAGCTGCTCAATTTGAGCACTGCATACAGCTCATCTGTCAGTCTGGGCCACTAAAATGGGCAAGGATTTAACCCTATTCACACCAAACAGATTTTCTGGAACATCCTAACATTGGGAAGAAGGATGAACACAATTAACAAGAATATGGTCTTAGTTGTAAATGATCAACAAATCTATGATAAACACCTATACCATGGTGAATGTTAGATATTATTGTATGTCCTAGACTGGGATAATTGACAGAGTAGCCCAAGTTTAAAAAAAGAACTATAATGCAATATTTTAGTCACTATTGTTCATTCACTATAGAGGATTTTAAACATATTAAATCTCTGAGCTTGCAAAATGATGGAGACTAGATATTCTATAGTATTCCCTTCATGGTTGAATAATTTTACTTTAATGGGGACTCTGGAACCCTCCTGCATGAGTAAAAACGGATGTTTATTTCCCACATGCACATTTGAGCCATTGGCTTCGGTACAGAGATTTCCGATTAGAGAAGCCAAGATTGGTCATCTGTGCTTGGAAAACAAGGGTCGTCCAATCAGATAAGCTCCTCTCACAGTTTCATTCCTGTTTCTTTCCGAGTGAGTCAATGTTTCTAAGTGCTAACAGCTATTAGGAAGATGAAATAGGAGAAGCATTCTAGCGGATAAAGTGAATGGCAGGGAATCACCACAGTAATCAGCTTTCTAAAGCAGGGTAGTAAAGAAATACAGATTTATAACATGCTATTTAAAAGTTTTATTCACGATGTGACCCAATATATGTTTGAATTTTCTGAAACCATTATTTTGGCATACCAATTGTTATTATTATTCAGCAGTACTTTACAATATTGTCAAAATGGGAATTTAACAATCAATTAGACAATTACAAAATGTTACATAAGGAACAATAGGTTAATGAGGACCCTGCTCAAACAAGCTTACATTCAACACGATAGAGTTACTCACTAAAGCACAATTTTCCAGGATTTCAAAGTGAATTCAAAATTAAAGGGACACTCCACTGCCCAAATACAAAAAATAAATAAACATCACTATTTAGTAGATATGCCCCAAATGATATCTTGCATGCATTTAATTATGAATTTGTTTCATTGGGGTATATCTAAAAAAAACTGATTGAAAATCCTACAGTTCCCTTGTCTGTTGCCTTTGCATTATATTATAAATTGCTTTGAATATTTTATAATCTATTATACATATGACAGCTCTATAGACTCCTATTGCGGCGGTGTGGTCATGGTGATCAAATGGCCCTGGTGTGCCGTGGTGGCCGGAGCTGCTGCAGGGGGGCTGCTGGGGTCTCTGGCAGTCCCACCCGACCGTGATCACCGTGGATCACCGGTCCAGGTAAGTCCAGGGCCCCTTTTTGCCGCGTACCTAGTACGTCCACGGTCGTTAAGGGGATATGTATTTATAACGTCATTCTAAATGTATTTTGATTTAAATATATATGTATATTAATATCAAAATACAGTTAGAACAAATTTAAACCGTATGTAATTTAAAAAAAATTATATTTTATAATTTTTTTAAAAAGCTTTTTTCAATTTATTTATTATTTTTATTTTATATATATATATATACATATATATATATATAAAATTATATATATATATAATTAACGTTATTCTAAGTGTATTTTAATATATATATATATATATATATATATATAATTATATAGATTAATATTAAAATACACTTTTAATAATTATTTATGTATGTGTATGAAGATTTGTTTATAATTTGAGTATTTCAGTTGAATTTTGCAGCACTGTTTTGCAAGGGTCCTACCCCTTTCCTTCCTACTCTCACTTTGCTGGCTGGAACAGTTGGTCAAGGATGTAACTGCAGTTATTAAACTTTTAAAAGTTTAATAACTGTTAAAAGTTTTTTGCAGGCATTAGGGGGACTGCCTGAGAGCTCATGGGAGGGCCAGCGATCAGGTAAGTGGGGATTTACTATCGGACGTACCAGGTATGTCCGAGGTCGTTAATGACCAAATTTTGTTGGACATACCATTGGGAAAGGAGTAAGGGGGTAATGAGGGTGCAGGGGACCTAAATAGTATAACACTATGGGGTCAGTAATACACATGTGTATTCTTGACTCTATATTGTTCCATTAACATTAAATGAGGGTCCAGGTCAGTAATGATAACAAGTTCTACCCGTCAGTCGTTTGATAATATGGATAAGGAAGAATTACACTCTGGCTTAGCATACGAACTCAACCAGTGTGGGCCAAGCTCGTGGAACCCTCATTAAGTCCAGAAATGACCGGTTTAAAAAACAAACACAAATAAAGTGGTGCCTTAAGTGTTCCTTTAAGCTTATTCACACAGGGGTAGGCAACCTTCAGCACTCCAGATGCTTTGGACTACACCTCCCATGATGCTTTGCCAGCATTATGGCTGTACGAGCATTGTGGGAAATATAGTCCACAACATCTGGAGTGCCGAAGGTTGCCTAATCTTGACATAGTCATAGGGCCTTCTCAACTTCTGTTTTTTTTCAGATGTTGTTTTATTCATAAAATTAAAATAAAAAACTAAAATAACACTACAAGCACAATAACCACTACAAGACAATGTAATGCTTATGTTGCCATGTATAGCTTGTGACTGGCTGGTTATTTACTAAAGTGGGAATTCTATGTGAAATTCAAGCAAATTTAAATTTTAAGGTCAAAATAGCCAATTTGGAAAAAAAAAGTCAGCTATGCTTTCAGTTTGGCTGCTCTGGCATTAACTTTGAAATTCACTTTGAATTCTAACTTTAGTAATTAATGCTGATGGTGTTAACAAGTTGATGCTAACTGCTAAACAGGAAATAAAGTATTACGAAAATACTTCAGTAATGAAGACTTTCGGGTAACTTTACTGTTCTATTGTGAGTTATCTTGCATTTAACTGCAGTGACATCATGGTTACATCCTTGACCAACTGTTCCAGCCAGCAAAATGAAAGTAGGCAGGAAAGGGGTAGGATCTTTGCAAAACAGTGCTGCAAAATTCAACTGAAATACTCAAATTATAAACAAATCTTCAGTTCAGCTAAATTTGGAAATTTTACTGCATCTTACTGTTTAACATTTACAGTAAAGTTCCCATTACAGGATCCTTTTATTTGCAGTGACTATAACGTTTATCAAACAAATTATACATTTAATTGCAAATTCAGCCAAAAAAGAGAACCTATAGTCCCCAAATTAATTGTTATTTTGGGACTGTAGGCTCCTTTCTGTCCATTCCCTTCCTTCCACATCCATTTACATTGAAGAATTGAAGTTAAATAGATATTATTTGCACCATTTCCAGCTCCAGGACTCCTCAACGTGGATAATATGCTATGCTGAGAATTGATTGAAAGGTGAAGGGAGGGACCATATCTTTAAATAGCTTTTTTATAAACATCTATATAGAATTTTTTTAAAAAGACTTTAACATTAGGAATACAAACTGCTCAGTTTGAATATCGGGGCTACACAAAGTCAGAACATAAAGCATTTTAATTACCTTTTATCCCA